AAATACTTTTAAAAGATTTAAATTCATGTTTTCTATTAAGCTATTGATAGGATTGCTTGTTAGCTGGTTACATTTATTATTTTCACATTGCAGTTGAATTGTAATAATTCCCTAATATGTTAGGGTATGTGTCTTAGATGGCAGTTCTAAATAGGTATCCAGATGTTAACTTGAAACAAATTATAGAAAAAGGTATAAATGTTATGTCTTTCTATTATGTATAGCTTGTTAAGGTTCAAATTCGGGAAAATATCACTGAGAAGTCATCTGAAAAGAGCTCACTAACTGCTAAAATGAATGCTCAGCCACAGTCTGAACTAGCTGTTACTCACATACAACCATGCCAGAAAAAACAGTTGACCAAACTCGAAGTAAAAAACCGGACCATAATTTTTCCTGAGACAAAATCTGGTGAACACTCAGGTAAAGTCTAACTTAGGTATTTATATTTATAATTTATAGAGTTTATAAACTTTATTGTCATTGTACATATATACACAGTATACACATACAACGAAATTCACATGACACCCAGAGACCAGGTCCAACACACATGACAATCCCCAAACACACCCCCACCCACCAAAAAATTCCCCACCCCTAAACCACCCAAGCATCCACACAACAGACCAGGTATATTGATATCCTTGGGGCACATGCTTTTAGTGCTGAGAGAGAGAGAGAGATAGAGAGAATAAAAACAAAGAATAAGCTCAATTCTAGCATTGGAGAATATTTTCACTGTCTTTGCTGTTTCTTTTTTATAGGGATGTAGAAAGCAGACCCAGAATCCTGCAAACCTGAGGTTTCTTGCCATTCGGCAAGGCATGGTGCAGGATGGCTCAAAAGGCAGAGATAGGGGGGAGGTGGGGGAAGATAGTTGAAGACAGTCCCTTAGCTTATTGAAATTCAGGGCTGGGAAGAATCAAACCTGAAATGGCTTGGCTTGGGATGGGATGGATAGTCACTTAATGAGCTGCAATTCTCGGTTAACAGCAACAATGCTGAGTGCTGGGATTGCCATTGTACTGTAAATCATTGTGGTCATGTGATATTTCACTTTATGACTACCAACTTAACAATGGAAATTCCAATCCCATTGTGATCGTAAACCAAGGACTACTGGCATGAACTGCTTTGCTACTCTTCAGATGCAGCCTTCAGAAAATGCTGGAGTAAGAAGAGAATATTTGTATCACATTGGTTTTCTGTAGGAAAGCAACAATACTATACAACTTACCAGTAATATCACTCCTGACCAAATAAGCAGCTTAGATTTTCAACAAATTGCTTGTTTTTGTGGACTGCTATGAAATTTACTATTAACATTTTATTGTTTGGCCATTTTATTTTACAGAAAAATACCTAGAGATTGAAAATAATGGAGATGAAAATTTGAAGTGGTTTTTGACTTCTTTTGCACCACCATATGTCAAGGTTAGTTTTAAAAAATCTGGTTTTCAAAGATTGGGACAAGTTCTAGTAAAGAAATAATCTGTTCATTTAAGCAATTTGTTTTGTGTTTTTACCGGTCTTTGCAGCCCTCTCTGCAACTATTTATTAAACGTGGTTTATTCAAAGCACCATGTAGGTTAACATGCTTTTCATTCTTAAATTAAAAAACTAGTTAACCAGGATATATGAACTACTGTAATTACAGCTATTGTTAACTTACATACTGCTGATGTAAAAGTTTGATTCAAATCAGAAAATGAAATCATTTATATTAAATGTTATATTTCATATTATTGCAAAAAGAACAATTTCATATTTCATTCAATAATCTTGATTGCTTTAATAAGGAAGTATTTTCTTACATACAAGAAAAGTTTGTTAAATACCACATGTAGAAAATTGGTTATGTCACTAGAAGAGCAGGTCTAAGTAGAATTTTTGTAACGGTCTGTTTAATAAAAACCTGATTTTTATTTTAAGAAAACACTTTACAATTCACTAGACAATCCACAACCCACCATATATTGTTTTAGAGATATTTTCTTAACTGATAAGCAGATTGGCCATGGGTGGACAAAAAAGCACTGGCAGAATGAGTGAGTTCTGACTTCCAATCAGTTTCCCCCTTGATTTTGCTTGTGGGAAGCTGGCAGGGAGTGTCAGAAATCACATCACCGGACTACGGTGGTGCAGCTGCACAGCTACTATTTTGCCACACAATCCTTGAGATTTTATTCCTATTGGAGTAGTGGGCCCTGGATTTTGGAGGCATTCTTTAAAATAGCTCATTTGAGGTACTTTGATTAGAAAAATTATTGCCCTATGACTGTTTCACAGGTTACAAACAAACATATAGGTTTAATGCTTTTGAAAATGTGCTAATTAAAGGCAATATATATCAGGTTTAAAAACATCAGCCTTAGTTGGTTGACATACATTGTTATATGAAATTCATTTATTGAATCAAGAAATGATAAATATATGTTTAGTGAAAACTTGAAATAATTTTAAGTGTTTCATAACAGTATTGATAAACAAGAAAAACAATTTTCACATAATGAAATTAGACCATGAAATCAGTATATTACTGAAACTCATAATCTCTAGTCAATCAAAAATAATGTAATTAAAGATTATTTAAACAGTGTATTATATAACTAATAGTTTTGATTAATAATTGTTTAATTTTAGGATGTTGATGAAAGTGGAGATGTTTACAGAGCTACATATGCTGCTTTCCAGTGTTCCTATCTTTCAGGTACTCTTGAAGTTTGTGGAAAAGAAAAAGTAAGTCACTATTTGATCATGTTCATAGTAATTAATTGCATTTTTAGCTGATTTTACTTTAAAGGAAGAGAAGATGTCCCAAACTCCTAGGTTATAATTGATAAAACTGTTCCTCAAGACAGGTTGTTGGAAACTTCTATTTTGAAAATAAATCAAGCATATCAGTAAAATTTTATTAGTTAGTCCTAAATATACAAACCTGTCAGCCCAGGTTAAAGACTCAAGTACCGCACGAAGAGGTGAGCTCCGGTTACTTCCTTGGCTAAGAAATAGACATGAGCACTGCCTCCTAGAGTCAGAAATGACTGGACAAGGGAAACCTTTACGTTTCTACAAAAGCATTGTTCTTTGAGTACATTGCACAAAATGAATGCTTTGTGTTGGAATAATTTCCAATTATTCTGAAGTAGTTGCTATTCCATTATCTTTACTTTTTACATTCAGGAAAGATATTTTTCTTGCCTTTTACCTTCACATTCTGTGTGAATTATGTTACTAGGGGCTATAGAGCCAGACGTTCAAGGCCAAAGTGTGATTAGGTACAAACAGGAATTAAGATTAGGTACAAACTTTAAAGCAACTATGTCTTTAAATTGACATGACTAAGCTCTGCAGCTGATGTGCAAACCCTGGACAAGATGTGCTTACTTTAAGGTGTTTCCAATAGATGCTCTTTGCCTCAAGGGTCATCTGCTATCCATTATTAGCAAGATTAATTTTAACTTTGTTACCTTTACCATATATTGTTGCAATTCTGGCAGTTGAGCAGAAAAGAATGATGAAATACATGCCTAAGATACGAGATTTTTTTGCTTGTTTTCAAAAGTTTATCAAAAGTTCATTTTCATTCTGTTGTTTTCAGAGGATAATGATATTCTAAAGTCCTTGGTCAATACAAAAAAAAATGTTCCTTTTTCTCCATGGCATATTTTCTTTTTCTTGGTTCAAACAGTGAAAAGTGTTTTGTACACAAATTTACAAGGAAAGAAGTGGAACAGGTCAGAGGCATAAGACAAGGCAGTAGGACAGCTCCTTCTGGGAAATTAGGCTATTGCCATCTCTATTGCCTACAATTAGTTTCATCTCCCCCTCCCACCATCATCCCAACCTAACCATTTCTGTATATTTTTATAGTGACCACTAGATGATAGTAAAGAACAACAGACACAGCTTTTATACTCCCAAATGGCTGTGGAAAAAAATCCTAAACAAAGTGTGCATGTGCACACATGCGTACACACACACACACAAACACACAAACACACACCAAATTGAAGTCTACTCTCAGCCACAGAAAGTTGCTGAGCAATTCATTGTCTCTCAGTCCAAACTACCTTATAGGATTGTTGTCAGGAAAATTGAAGGAAATGTTAATTTCCTCTGAGATCCTAAAATGGAAAGGCAAGATAAACTCTTAACATTAAATTACTTTTGCTTCAGTGTTAGCTATATGCTCCAGGCATTATTTATTTTTACTGTGTTTCCCCGAAAATAAGACAGGGTCTTATTTTCTTATTACAAACAAAATATGGCTTGGACCTTATTATGAGGGGAGGGTTTATTGTTTTGGGGTATTCTCTTTTCCATCATGCAATAACATCCACAGGCATTACTGAATACAGACTTCAGTACAAGTCTCATACATATGGATGATATACAGTCATACAGTCCTTACTAGAAGAGTTCCTCTGTTCTGATGACACTCCAGACTAATTTGTTTAAGCAGTTTGCTGGCATATACCGTGTTTCCCCGAAATTACGACATGCCCTGATAATAAGGCCATACCACATTTTTCTGGTGGGCAAATATATAAGCCCTCCCCCACAAATAAGCCCCCTGGACAACCCCCCACTTCCGGCCAGGCAGAGCGCCGCTCACCAACCTAGCGGTATCCCGAAGATGCCAAGCCGCNCCCCCCCCCCCCGGTCAATCGTGTCCCTCTTTACCAATCTGAAAATCTGGTCACCTTAGTGTTTATATAGTTGGTCTTTTATCTTGTGAAGAGACCCAAAATTCTGGTCTAAGATACATGTAATAGATTTTTGCAATTGAGTGCCCTAGAAATGAGATGATCAGTGGAAATAAGGTTACTTTTATTTAATAGGCAACAAAGTCCAAAAAAGAGCATTCTAAATATAGTTTATTATTTTCTAAACTAGGTTGTTTTATTTCACTGCAGTGAAGAAGGTGAAACTAGTTTTCTGGGTTGAACCACTGTTTATGGTTGTGCTGGCTGGGGATTGTATGAACTGAAATCAAAACACACCTGGAGGATTCAAGTTTGGAACATGCAATTGTAGAAAATTATTCTCAGTGAAGGTCATCCCTAACTCTAGAAATATGCATTTGAACGGCTTCTTTTGGAGCTGCAAAACCTTTTTTTCCCCTTGCCGGATGGAAAGAGTCCTAAGGAGTGCCTTATTTGGTGATGTGCTATATGAGCAATTGGATAACATTCTCTATACGGTCCTTTTAAAAAGTATAACGAAGTAGGCTGGAAGAGGCGAGGATGACCCGACCGCCTCCCCAATGTGCCCACAAATTTTCGCGCCCTAAGCAAGAAGGTCGAAAGTGAAGCGAGGCATCTCCCTGCTTTCGGTGAAGGCGCTTAGAACCGTCTCTAACGTGGAAGTTTGGAAGCTGGTTCCTTCAACAGATTTTGTTCCCCAATGTATTTCCCAGAATTTCCCCAAGAAATTCTCAACTTCCAGCCGAAGGAGAGGGGGGGGGGGGGGGGGGAGGGAGGGAGAGAGGGGAGGGAATTGACTTTGAGCCCGCGTCTTCGCTTCTGCATTGGCCGATGATGAGGCGAACTTAATGAACTACGGCCAAGCCACAGCCTTCCCTTTTGACGGGGGATATTTTTTCCCCGGGGTGGGGGTGGGTGGGAAAACAAAGCTCCCCGAATAAAACAGATCTGCAGCCTCGACAAGCCTGCAGAGGAGTTTGTCCCAGAGTGGCAGAGCACCGGGTTAGATTCCCTTTGCCGAATGGGGATACGCCGGAATGTGACCAAAGAAGAGGCCCTGCAACCGGTGAAAAGCCCCCGCGGGAGAGGATAACTTTTCTTCCTTCGCCACTGGGCCAGTTGGCGGGCAGAGACCGGTCCGGCTCCTTTGCACATCCGACCCTGCAGGTGTCAGTAGAGGCTGCGAATAGGCGCGCGAGGGGCTGGGCAGGAAGCTCGTCCCCCCTCCCCCCCCCGCCGCCTCCCTCCCGCGGCCCCGCTCCTTTCTTCCCGCGGCTCCGGGT